CTAGACATGGGTGGAAGAAGGTGATCTGGAACTCTGTCTCTGGGGGGATGGGGGAATCATATCACAACAAAAGCACTATGCTGGGGACAACCTCTTCCAGTCTCCTCTCCTCTAAACCTCACCAGGCTCAAGCTCTTCTGACCTTGGACTTCTTGAAAGAGACACTTTGTCTAAAGCCTGATGTTGCTTGTCACCAGGGAACTTCAAGGTGGGGAATCTCCATTAAGAAACATAGAAGAAGGAGGTCTGCCACTCATTAATGATGTAGTGAGCAAAGGGCAGAGGTCTGAGTAGCTGCTCTAGCTGAAGCTGGTCTCTGCTGTGGAATGTGAGCCCCAGTTCACACAGGTCATTTCTTAGGGCTGGTCAGAGAGCCCTCACAGTCCACCTCTCGGTATCGGTGTATTGTGTCAAACTCCTGTGTTTGGGACACTGGAGAGACCTAGGATCTGAGCACCAAGCCCCTAACATGAAAGAGAGGTGCAAATCTCCCCCAGCTCATGGGAGGAGTGTGGAAGAGGAAGGATAGATTCTAGGAAAACCCTTAACTGTAAAATACACAAGGAGGGTGTGGAAAGGAGGGAGGCATGCAATCCACAAAGCCAGCTAGGAGGAGTTGCCCCCATGACCACTGACTCTAAGGGTGTTAGATCACCAGTTACAAAAGAGTGATGCTGCTACCCTCAAAAGCCATTGTCCAGAGCCTTCAAATGGGCTCATGACTTGCCCTATTTCTACCCTGCCCCAAGCCCTATAGTGGCTCTAGGACATCAGGGGCCACTCCCTGTGTCCTGGATGCTCTGTCTACCAGCCCTCCCTTGCTCTTTCCCTTCCCCTGAATGGCCTCAACAACTGCTCTTGTTTCTTTCTTCTCCCTCCCCCTTCCATCCATGTCTCCCATAGCACCTATCCCATTGCCTGGCACCCAGTCCCCCTTAGCAAATAGTTGTTCAGCTGAAAGACGGCTGAACTGCTTTGTGTAACACATGACAGACAGAAGGAAGAATGTTCTCAGCAGCAACAGTTGCCAAGGGAAGCTGTGAAATTAAATGTAATCTTGAGGAAATAAATATTTATTGAGCCCTTATTATATAACTAAGGAGCCCTGGTAGCTTAATAGTTATGTGCTTAGTAGCTGAGAAGTCACTGGTTAGAACCCTTTCAGAGGTTCCATAGAAGAAAGATCTTACCATCTGTTTCTGTAAAGATTGCAGCTTAGAAAACTCCATGGGCAATTCTACTCCGTCACAATGGATCTCTGAGTCAGAATCAACTTGACGGCACTCAACAACCACCATTCTATACCAGGCATGTGTTATGTGCTTGGGGAGGGTGTTAGAGGCCCAGTTGTGGGCAGGAGAGACCAGAAGCACAAGGATCAGAGATATTTGGAAGCATCATGGAATGCCAAAGGAACAAACTGATTCAGCTTGGGGAAAGCTCAGCCAGAGTGCTTCTGGGGCAAAGAGGGCAAAGCTTTGTCTCTCATACTTCGGTCATGTTGTTAGAAGAAGCTGTTCCTTGGAAAGGGACATTATGCTTAGAAAGGTCAGTGAAAGAAAGAAGACCCCAAATGAATTGGATTGGCACAATGATTGCAGTAATTAGCTCCAATGTATCAGAGATGATGAGACGGGCACAGGATAGGACAGTGCTCAGGTCTGTTATTCATGGGGTGGCTATGAGTTGTACTCAATTCAATAGCACCTAACAACAACAACAACAACATTTCCTAAAAGTTTTCTTTTAACGAAGAGGCGGACGTTAAGGAAAGGTCCTGATGAAGAGAAGGTGGATATTAAGAAACGTTTACTCACATTGATCACAGTGCCATTGATGAAATGGAACTGATATCTGTCCAAAACAGGTTGGCAGCTGAGCTAGACAGCTAGACAAATGCTAGACAGTATCTAGGGGCCAAAGGAAGAGACTCATGGGTAAAGGGTCCCTAGGAACCTCAGGCAGAACAAAAAATTATTCACTGACCTCCTACTTTATTTGGGGAAATGTCAGAGCAGGGAGAGAAACGACTTATCTTAAATAAGCACTATTATCGTGAGCTCTGGCAGGGTAGTCTCTAGTGAGTTGCTCGCCCAAAGGCTGCACACCTCGGGGGCTCCAAATCTACCAGAAGCTCCAAAGGAGGGAGATGATGGACACTTTCCTCTGTTGAGATTTACAGCTTTGGGAACCCAATGTTGGTTAGATGTCATTGAGTCAACTATAACTCTAAGTGACACTATGAACAATAGATCTGAACTTTGCCGTAACTTATGTCATCCTCGCCATTTCTGATATGCTTGTGCCCACTGTTGGAGTCATTGTGTCAATCCATCTTGTTAAGGGTCTTCCTCTCTTTCTCTGATCCTTCACCTTTTCCCAGCATGATGTCTTTTTACAAGCACCGGCCCCTCCTGACAATGTGCTCAAAGTATGTGAGATGAAGCTTCACCATCCTGGGCTCTAAGGAGCACTGTGGATGCATTTCCTCCAAGACAGGCTTAAAGCGTTCCTATAAGCTAGAACTGACTTGATGCCAATAAGTGAGTGAAGTTCTTTATGAAGCCCTTTCTAGAATCTATTGTTAGCTCATTTATGCTCCAAGGTATTCCTATGATCATCATTCTCTCCATTCTGTAGGGTAAGAAACTAGATTCAGAGAGGTAAGTCTCCCAAAATTATGCAACTATCAGGATGCAAACCCAGATCTATGCTATTTTTACTCAACAGACTTTTATTGAGCGTCTCCTGTGTGTCAAGCACTGGGATAGACTTGGAGGGGGAGATAATTGTCACAAAAGTAGGCCTAGTCCTTGCTTTCTTGCCACTCAAAGTATGCCAGGAGTTGGGAGCCAGCTGAGCTGGCATTCTAAGGCAGTAAACAGCCAGAGAGTGACCTCTCCAGTCAACCACTAAAGCCTCTGTACGAAGACAGGAACTCAGACACAGCAGCCTGATCTGAGATTCAAGCCAAAGCCCAACTCAAAGTCTTGCAATAGAGGTGATTCTGACTCATAGTGATCCTGGAGGATAGAATAGAATTTCCCCATAGGAATTTTGAGGCTGTAACATGTTAAGGGAAGAGAATGCTCATCTTTTTCTTCCTTACAGAGAAGATGATGAGTTAACTGGCCAGCCTTTCAGTTAGTACCCCAACATAAACCTCTGCAGCAGCAGGACTACTTCAAATTGAAGAGAAAAGAAAATAATGCTAGCTGATGCCCTAGGCAAGGCTTCTGTCTCCTCTCACCATTTCTATTGGCAAGCGTGTTCTTTGCAGTTTATCCTCTGGCTAGTTGTACTGAAGTTTATTATCAGCTGTTGGAGCTGGACAATAGGGTAGCAAAGAGAGGCGGGAAAGGATTCAGCCTTTGAAGAAGGCAAATTCTGACTTTGCCCCTGAGGTGCTGCATGTCTTAGTGCAAGTTGTTCAATAACTTCATCTTAGATCCTTATTGTCCTGACCTGTAAAATGGGTAAGTTCTACTTCATAATTTCCTTGTTGAGCTAGATCTGTGTGTCAGTCAACTAATCCCAATACTTGGCACACGATAGGCATCCTTTCTGAAACTCTGGAATCTTTCCAGCCATAACATTCTATGTTCCCAGAAGCCCAAGCCAGAGGAATCAAGTCTGAGATCAGTGTTTCAGGCCGTGCCATGGAAATGCATTCATCCACATTAGATTGGATGTGGATTGAAAAGAGTTCTTTTGTTTTCTGATTTGTTAAAGGACAGACTTTTCTGTTTCCTACCTCTGAGACCCTCACTGGACAATAGTAACCTCTTTCTAGAAGCTAAGTGTACACCCTACTACTCCTATTCTCTCTTTTAAGTAGGTCCAAACTAGGTTTGTAGTATGAGATCCAGACCAGATAGACAACTTTCCCCCCCAAAAAATCCACTCAAATTCTCCCCTGAAATTTGGAGCTAGGACTAAGAGACAGTGAGTCAGTCTCGCTGCACCTATAAACAGGAAAAGTGAGGTGCTGAGTGAAGACAATAGTTGTCATGAAGATTGAAAGGTGAAAGTTTCTAGCAGTCTATGCAGGTTCACAGTACTCAGGGCCCTGGGCAAAATGAAAATGCAGGCCCCCTTGTACCATTTGACCCAGCAATTCCTCTACTGGGAATACACCCTACAAAAACCATACCTGCCACCCAGGCAGATATATACACATCCATGTTTATTGCAGCTTTGTTCACAATAGCAAAGAGTTGGAAACAACTCAAGAACCCATCAACAAACGAATGGATAGAGAAACTCATATATTCACACAGTGGAATACTACGCTGCCTTGAAAACAAGGAATTCATGCAATATTATTAAAAATGGGGGTGACCCTGGAGGACATTATGCTGAGTGAAATTTCTCAGTCACAAAAGGACAAATACTGCATAGTGCCACTGTTGTAGAATGGGACTGATATCAGGGTTGGAGTGAGACTGAGAAAAATTGAATAAATTATGTATACTGCATTGAAACAGATGAGGGAGAAAACAGTTTAAAAGTGATACATGATTGGATATTATGGTTATGACAAGAGTCCAGAATGAAGGTTGCACAGTAGAGTGTACTCGGGGAGGTGGGGATTGTATACCGATGAAAGAATTTTTCTTTTACTTTTCAAAGAGAAGAGTGAACTGGGGGGAGGGGTGAGTAGGGAGAAAAATGCAACAATGAATGAATGGAAATCCAAAATCTCTGTAAACGTTCATTAAATTTAATAAAATTAAATTTAAAAAAAAGAATTTCAAGATGGAGACAGAAGAGCAGTAAACGAGACCTGACCTCATCCGAAGACTGTGGAGGTCACATGATCAGGGAAACAGCCTAGCTCTCTCTAGCTTCCTTTGCCTCACACTCAGTTTATTCCTTAAGCTTCACTCAGCTGGTTTCTGTCACCCACAATCCCGATGTCCTCTCCCTGCTTCCAGCACAGACTTCACTCCAGATGGAATAGGAAAGCCTCAGAGTCCCTGCTAGCCATCTGCACTCACCTGTCAGTGTCATCCACAGGGGTCCCTTTTCCTCCCAGGCCTACAGTAGCAGGCATATCCATAGTATGAGAAGAAGGCACTCCACCCTGTCACGGAGGATTTGACCATCCTTTGAAACTGCCAGAAGCTGCTGTGGGTGGGAGATGTCAACTGCCTGTGGGAAAATAAAGGAGATAAAAGACGCAGTGAGAATGACACCATCTTAACTTCCCCTAACTCTTGCTGTGGTGAAAACCACAAAATACAGTGCATGGGTGGCATTAGTAGCCTCTTTCATGGGGAAAACCAGGATCAGGTTTATCCTCATAACCTCACTGGTTTCTTGCTAAAACTGCATGCAAACCCAGTTCCCATGACATCTGGGACAAGGCTCTACCACATTCTCCCCAACCCACTGCTCAGAAAAAAAAAAGTGGAAAACATGGTGGTAGGAAGAAACATCCTCATGCCCGCTGCAATATTAAATAGAAAAGTTCCAAACCCAGAAGTGACAGTTCCTTCCAATAGATTGTAAACAGGCATTTAACAATCTCGCAGAAGCAACACTGATGGGACAGGAAGTTACTCCACAGTCTATCTTTTTAATGTCAAACACATGGACCTCGTGATTTCACTTCCACAAAAGAAGGCAAAAATACAAACACATGAAGATGTGTACTGCAGCATTTTTGTTGTGTCAAAAACCTGGAAACCACCCACAGGCCCATCAATAAGTGAATAATAACTAAATTATGTGTCTTGGAAATAGACAGCTTTAATAGCAATATCTTTAGGCAGAGAGATTGAGGAGGCAGGTGAAAAATAAGCAACATTTTCTGTATATATTTCCATTCAGTTGGGTTTTTTCCCTTTCAATGAACATGCGTCGCTTTCCTTTTGAATTATTTAAAATGTGTGAATATAGGAGGATATATACCAAACTCTTAAATGTGAAAGTAGGAAAAGGCCTGGAATCCGGTAAGCGTGAGACAGGCTTTATCTTACTCCTGTGCACTCACTTGTTTTACTCCTTAATTACAAGCATGTGCTGTATTGCTTTTACAATAAAATAAAAACATGCCCTTTCAGAAGGAAAGCAAAGACAGAGAGTTTGGGGAAATTTTCCCAGGAGTCTTTCTGTTTCATTATGGCGGTTTGGCTGCCTCGCTAACATCAAGTTCTGCAGAGGGCCATGGGGGAAGGGACTCATCGACGTCTGTCTCTGAAGAGAGGGTTGAACCACCTACAGGCACTGAGCAGGGAACACTATGATACTACAGATACAGTCTTCCCTGAATGCAGGTGGCTCCTTCTCAGGAGCTTAAGAATCTCCTGCGTGTAGGTAGTCCATGACCTTGAGAAAAGGTCCATCATTTACTTGGGGGGGAAAAAAAAGAATTCTAATTTTGACATTTTTCCTTAGGGAGTCCCAAAATTATTCCTACACAGTTGAAATGGAGGTCCCGAATGGTTAATACATTTGGCCTCTAAGTGTGGAGGCTCGTGTTCACCCAGAGGGACCTCAGAAGAAAGGCCTGGCTATCAGTTATTTAAACCCCCACAGAGCACAGTTCTCTTATGACACAGTGGCGTTGCTGTGAGTTAGAATCAATTCAATTACTACTGATACACAGTTGAACCAGGATAAAACAAACAAACAAACCCTCTAATTAATTGCTATTGAGTCAGCACTGACTCATAGTTGATCTGCCATTGGGTTTCTGAGGCTGTCAATCACCTGGGAGGAGATCACCCATCTTTCTCTCAAGATGTTACTAGTGGATTAGAACCACTAGGGAGATGTGGCCTTTGGGTTAACAATGAAGCTCTATCGACTAAACTCTAAGGGTCACCAAAGTGGATCTGAAGAAATCTCCACTCAACAAATAAAACAGGAGTCTCAAAGTATCCAGCAGACCCAAATCTTTTTCTTAATAAATATTTTGTCATTTGGATGAGGTAAATGATCTGGTCTCCTAGTAATGTCTTATAAAGACTAATTCTCCTTGCCTTTGAGTTAGAACTGACTTATAGCTGACCTTCCTTTGGAGGGATCTTTTTTTCCTTCCATATATCCCTGGAAATTCTTTGGAGGGTCAGCTATGAGTTGATTTCCCTTCAGTGGTAATGAGGAGGCTGAGAAATCAATATAGAATGTCTTTGTGATAGGAAGGAATCAATCCTAAGTTAGTTAGATCGTGATCAGGAGTCATATAATTTTAAATAAAGGCAGTAGGGAAAAAAGGGAACAAAGATCTGAACATGGGGTTGATGTTGTTGTTAGGTGCCATTGAGTATGGCTCATAGCAACCCTGTGAATAAGAGATCTGAATCCTGTCCTATCCTGTGTCATCCCTATGATCTCTGATATGCTTGAGCCCACTGCTGCAGTCACCATGTCAATCCATCTTGATGGGGGTCTTCCTCTCTTTTACTGACTGTCCACCCTTCCAATAACGAAACCCTTTTCCAAGGAATAGCATCTCCTAGCAACATATCCAAATTATGACAATGAAGCTTTTCCATTTTTGCCTCCAAGGAGTGCTCCAGAGACATCTTTTCAAAGACATACTTGTTTACTTTTTTGGCATTCCATGGGATATTCATGGGTACTCTTCTCCAACACCTCAATGCAAAGGCATCAGTTCTTCTGTCCTCCTTATTCATTGTCCACGAATGTGGGCAATGGGGATGAGGGGGCATGAGGAGGGACTGGTAAGACAGGATTCAAACCTCTCCTTTCTCAAGAAATATCCTGGAATTTCCCCTGGAAATTTTATAAGTTTCCATCACTTGGATGGGCCCGTTTTACTAAAAGAGAAGCACTCAAAATTCAGAGCGAGCCAACACCACTGTTAGTTGTCGTGTATGTATTTAGTGATTTTCCCTCACCCAGTAATGCCCAGTGACAGACATAGACAAGGACAAGGACCAGAGCCCATTACCTGGCTCACAACTTATAGCAGGTGACGAAGGCAGCAAGGAGAGCGATGATGAGGACCTTTATTTCCGAGAAGGACACTAGAGTGTCTGAGGTGCCACAGTCATGTGATAACCTTCATTGCCCAGGAGACCAGGATGTCCGAGGTGCCACAGTCACACCTTAGCCTGGGCTTGAGGGATCTGCTAGTTGAACTCCTGCTCAAGAGAAAACAACCAAAATGAGGCAAGGTCATGTGGGTACAAACCCCCACCCACAGTGCAGAACTTCAAAAGCCTTCAGTGCAAAGAGGTCTATTCAAACCTAATTGTCTCTGAATATGATACACTTTCTGGTATTTAGACTTTAAAAATAAAAAGGGTTTGATTATTTGAAAAGTGTAAGTGGGTTTTCCCCCCTAACTTTTTTTCTTTGAAAATACAGTTCTTCCATGTTTCTCCCTTTCAAGGATTGTAGTCCCACTGCTCCAAAATTTAAAGGGCATGTATTTTGTTTGTAACAGAAACCCAGCTCAGGCAAGTCTAGACTCTATTTCATCATAGGGCAAAAGCAGTTTTATGCCTTAATATAAACTTGTTGATAGCTGCCACGGAGTTGGCCCTTCATTGTTGTTGTGCTCTGCAAAGTTGGAACCGACCCATAGCTGAGACTCGAGTCGGCAGGTTTTCAGAAGCAGTCGATTGCATGGGAGGAGATTGCCAATCATTTTCCTACAGAGCGGTTGTTGGCTTCAAACCATGCGCCTTAGGGATTGCAGCACAGCTTTTTGCCACTAGGCCACCAGAGCTCCTACCCAACAGAATATGATGCTACCTGGTTCCATTCCATCCCCAACATGGGGTTTGGATTGGATTGTTTTGATCCATAGAATTTTCATTGGTTGCTTTTGGCTGTAGATCACTGACATCTGTTTAGCACCATAGCAACATACGGTCCACTGTTGACTGACAGGTAATGGCTCCCCATGAGGTGCACTAACCAGGAATCAAAGAAAAGAATTCTACCTTAGAATGTCTTCTCCTTTAAAGTGATACTAAAAATGTCTGTCAATAATTTTTGCCTTTATTAGAAGATTATTAAATGCTCTGTTATCTTTAAGTGCTTCACAGGTATTAAGCTAGTTAAATCTAACAATTAAAAGGCTCTCTTATCACTTAGTTCGAATCCACCAGCTGCTCCATGGGAAGAGGATGGGCAATCTCTTCTCGTGCAATTAACTGCCTGCTTGAGAGTCAGCTATGGCTCAGTTCTGACTCCATAGTAGACAGTAACATTATCATTTAGAGATACAAACTAAATTGTCAATCTGTTGTTGTGATATTAGCCTAAATTTGGGAGTTTGGGTTGTTGTGTTTTTTTTTTAACCATTACCTTTGCCCTTCTGGTCTCCAGTTACCATAACTGCAGACACATTATCTTGCAAACCATCAATAACTGTGGGACTGGGAAAAGAGAAGCTCCCACACTGAGAAGCTACACTTGCAGTGGGCAAGACCCTGGTGATAATGGTAGAGAGACTGTGGCATTGGTGTGGAAAAAAACTGTGGCAAGGTATGACCTGAGGCTTCTTGCATTTGTGCTAGCCACAATTAAAGGTTTTGCCGTTTTTGAAGGAGAAGCTAACTTATAACTACTCTGAGGCAAACCATGCTGGATGATTAAGGAAACCAGAGGCTTCTTGAATTTTTATTGCTGAATAGAAACCTGGCCTAATTAAGAAATTGTGCTTTGAGACTGTTGGGCTAAAACCTGGATTTGCATTGGGTGATATTCTTTGCCTCTCCCACTTTCCAACTTACTTCTCTAATAAACCCCATTCTCGGTACCACAACTGTGAGTCTGTGAGTTAACAATGAGTAAACAAACCTCTTGCAACTGCTATGGCTCTAGAGGAACCATGGAGCTATGGGCTTTTTGTCTGCTTTATGCCTTGGAGAGGTAAGGGCCTTTGCTATTCTCACTCTATCTGGCCCTTTCAGAGAGATGCTCAAGGCCCTGTGCCACCATGTCCCATTTTTTGTTCTCAAGACAGTTGTGGTTGGGGAGAATTATTTTCTAATTGGTACAGCACTTATATGTTAGTTTGCTGTACTGAGATAACTTGTGGGTTGCTATGATATTGAAAGCTATGCCACTGGTGTCTCAAATGCCACAAGGGTTATCCATGGCAGACAGGTTTTAGTAGAACTCCCAGATTAAGACAGACTAGGAAGCAGGATTGGCCATCCACTTCT